CTCCTGCTCTCGCCGCCAGCCACCTCGGGCTGCCTGCTCCTGCTCTCACCACCAGCCGCCTCGGGCTGCCTGTTCCTGCTGTCGCCGCCGGCGCTGGGGACATGCTGCCTTGTGAGTACATCAGAAGAAATAAAAAGGCAGAAATAATAAACAGGGAAATAAAACTAGAGTGAATAAAAAATACAAGAGTTCAAAAGGCAAATTCAAAACAGTGAAACTGACACTATCAGTTATGAATTTAACATAGGCTAATTACTATAAGAAACTAAACAGTAGTTTCAAACACAGACACTTTAATCAGACTTCCTGACCTTGGAGTGCCCCACACTGTCACCAACCCACCTTCCCCTCCCTGCTAGCTAGGTTGGATACTTTGGGTCTTGAGGAAATAGGCTCATCACTGGGGATAAACGCAATTTTGAAATACACCTGGTTGTTTCCATTTGCTGTAGCCAGTGCTTCACTGAAGACTTCAGACAGTGTTCAGTCTGGTTTGAGAACTTGGGTTTTTTTTTGTGGTGGTTTTGTGAGCCAGTTTTCACCTCAGTATGTGTCTGAGGCCTTGTCAGTCATGTTGGTGGTTTTCGGAGGTCATTAGTCATTAGATCTGCTGGGCGTGGTTGGTTGCCGTTGGTTCCCCTGGTACGGAACATCCATGTGTTGGTAGGTTTCAGGGAGATAGCTGTGCAGATAGTTCTCAGGAGAGTAGCTGTCTGGGATCCCTCTTCTGTTGGTAGCTGCAGGGATGGCTCTCTCTCTCCCCCTCACCCAGATCAGGGCCAGCAATTATACAGACTGTGCTCTCTGTTGTGTTTCTGTTGTCCTGTTTGTGGTGAATTGGCTTCCTGATAGTTTAGAGTAGGCGTAAATACGTTTCGATGAAGTAGAATGCCAGTATTTCTGCAAATGAGTATTAATTGGAGTTGAATGCCTTGGTACCTCTGAAGAGTCCAAGATGTCTGAAGTTGTCTTAGGTCTGGTTCATTGTTCCTTTAGGGCTACGGCGCGAATAGGATTTCTAACTGAACCATGGTCCCAGACAGCTATCCCTGTGATTGCGTATTCCAGAACACAGCCCAACTGCCTTTCTTTTTGTTCCGGTAAAAATCCCGGGATTTTGGTCCAGTATTCTAAATGACAGGGATTTTTGCTCCCTTCTACAAGACCATAATTTCATAAATGATGTACAAGGGCCTTTTCTAGCTCCAGGTCCACTTTCTGACAGCTATGACCTGAAGGAAAAGCCACTACTGCTTCCCCACCCAGGCCTAATTCAAACTTGCACTCAGACCCCTATTAATATGATCAGAGTTTGCTTTGCATATTTAAAGAAAGACTTCAGGCGTTTCATTGAATGTCTGGCCTCCTATAATTTCGAGGCCAAATTATGATCTGGAGCTATTTTTCATGCTCCTTGTAATTCCCTCCCAACCTGATTTGGCAAGAGGTGAGAATTTCAATTTATGCACTATCTCTGTAGAACAATATGTAAATATAAATTTTCATACCTTTAAAAAACTTTTCCCGTTTTTGTCTTTATAGGCAGGTCTGCGTACATTACATGACATTGGCCCTGAGATTCGTCGTGCAATATCTGGGGACCTGACAGCAGAAGAAGAACTGGAAAAAGCGATGAAAGAGGCTGCTTCAGCTGCATCTGAAGATGACATTTTCAGGGTAGGTTCTACATAAGATAATTATTAAAGACTGCAGAGTGATTTAAATTTTCCCCTCAAATCCTTTAATGGTAAATACCATTATGGTCAATATTTTGTACAGTTGTAGCATTGAAACAGAGAAAATAGGAACAATTGGCCCTTCAAGCCTGTTGCACCATTCAATATCATCATGGCTGATCATCCAACTCAACACCGTGTTTAAAGTTTTTGAGGAGATTTATAGCTTAGGTTATAGATGAGGTTGTAGACTCGCTCGCCAAGCCAGTGTGTTTGGTTGCAGACATTTCGTCACCCTACTAGATAACATAGTCAGTGTGCCTCCGGTGAAGCGTTGGTGTTCTGTCCCGCTTGTTATTCATAAGCCTCGGTTTGCTGCGCTGGTTGGCATTACTACAGCGGATTGTGTTTTTTGGGTATCCATTCCATTTAAAAGCTCCATATAAATGCTCCTGTTCTACTTTGCGCAATTCCAGGTTGTTGTAGTGGCAATACACAAGACCACTCAGACCTCTAGATATCAGGGTAGCCCACAAACCAACAACCATCCTGCAACAGCTACTGACAAACATAAAAGACCCCATACCCACAACCAATAAAACTAATGTAATATACAAAATACCATGCAAGGACTGTGAAAAACATTACATAGGCCAAACTGGAAGAAAACTGGCAATAAGGATACACAAACACCAACTAGCCACCAAGAGACATGACCAATTCTCACTGGTCTCAATACACACAGACAAAGAAGGACACAAAGTTGACTGGGCCAACACATCCATAATAGCACAAGCCAAACAGAGACATGCCAGGGAATTCCTGGAGGCCTGGCATTCCAACTGGAACTCCATCAACAAACACATTGAACTGGACCCAATATACAAACCACTGAAGAACAGAACTGGAAGTAATGCCAATCACCCCAGCAAACTGAGGCATATAAACAACAAGCAGGATCGAGTACCAGCGCTTCACCAGAGGCACACTAACGATATGACTTAGCAGGGTGACGAAACGTCTGCAATTGAACACAACGGCTCGGCGAGCAAGTCTACAACCTCAATATCTTGTTCCACTTTCTCCAAATATCTTTTGATCCCTTTAGCCCTATGAATTATATCTAACTCCTTTTTAAAAACATTCAATGTTTAGGCCTCAATCATTTTCTGTGACAGAGAATTCCATAGGCTCACCACTCTCTGGATGAAGAAATCTTTCCTCATCTCAGTTCTCAATGGCCTATCTAATATCCTTAACCTTATCCTTATCCTTATCCTTATCCTTAGTGACTAGTGTATAAGGACAACTAGGTTTGTTTCACCTTCCTCTTTTCCAATCTATCACCATGCAGTTAATAATCTGCCTTCCTGCTTTTGCTACCAAAATCACATTTATCCACGTTATACTTCATCTGCCATTCATTTCATTTGCCAACTCACTCCACTTGGCCAAATCACACTGAAATATCTCTGCGTCCTGCTCACAGTTCACCCTCCCACCCAGCTTTGTGTTGTCTGCAAACTTGGAGATATTACAACAAAAATGAAGTTGCTGGAAAAGCTCAGCAGGTCTGGTAGCATCTGTGAAGGGGAAAACAGAGTTAATGTTTCGGGTCCGGTGACCCTTCCTCAGAAGGTTCACCGGACCCGAAACATTAACTCTGTTTTCTCCTTCACAGGTGCTGCCAGACCTGCTGAGCTTTTCCAGCAACTTTGTTTTTGTTCCTGATTTACAGGATCCGCAGTTCTTTTGGTTTTTATTGGAGATATTACATTTAGTTTCCTCATCTAAATCATTAATATATACAGTGAATAGCTGAGGTCCAGCACTGATCCCTATGGGATGTCGCTAGTTACTGTCTACCATACAGAAAAAACCAATTTATTCCTATTCTTTGTTTCCTGTCTGCCAACCAGTTCACTATCCATGTCAGTACACTACCCTCAGTCCCATGCGTTTTAATTTTACATGCTAATCTTTTACGTGGATCGTTATGGAAAGCCTTCTGAAAGTTCAAGTAAACTACATTCACTGGTTCCCTCAAATCAAGTCTACTAATTACATCCTCGAAAAATTTTGGTAGATTTCTCAAGCACAATTTCTATTTTATAAATCCATGGTGACTCTATCTGATCCTGCTGCTGTTTTCCAAGTGCTGTGTTATTAATTTTTTTATAATGGAATCTAGCATCTTCCCCACTATCAATATCAGGCTAACTGGTCTAAAATTACTTTTTCTCTCTCTCTTTTCTTTTTTTTCCCATGTTTTTCTTGCACTAATACTTGATATTATAAAATTGTTTTCATAACATTGAGCACTTTTATCAGTAGGAATACGCAAAGCACCCAACTATGAAAAGAAGTGGGAAATGCAGCCCCCATTATGTTACTTCGAATAAGTACAACTGTTCGCTCTCCCTATTTTCCTCTCTATTCTTGCTAAACATTTCATACCTTCAAAGTTCTGTTTATGGTCCTGGTTTGTCTATAGCCTTAGCCCAGATAACAGGAATACAACATAACAACCTGGAATCACATTATGGCTGCAAAATTACTTTCTTATTAATGTCTAATTAATGAAACCTCTATCACTATTGGTTCTCTTGATTTTCCTCCTTCAGCCCACCCTCCCCATATAACTGATCCTTCCACACAGCTGTAGACTTAGCTCTGGACAAACTTACCGGAGGAACCATCAACTTAACCAGTAGAACTGAATACTAGTTAGAGAGTGGAATGCAGTCAGAATTCTGTGCACCATCTGGCTGGTCCTCCTTGTCTGTCTTCAGCCACTGATTCACTGCCAAGTTGAAGGGTGAAATGCACTATCTACATAGCTTTCAACCTCGTGAGATGCATTGCAGACCTTGAGTTCTTCCCACTGACAATACTTCCTGCGTGTGTTTTTTCAGGACACAAGAATAGTCTTAGATTTCCCACATAGTTCAAGATGAAGCACTGGACAGGACTGAAATGCCCTTCTATGCATATTCTTACATAGCCATTTAAAACTTATGGGAAATGAACCATACTTACATAAATAAATCATACTGATAAAATAACTTAAGTTGTTACCTGTTGTTAATTAAAACAAAGTTAAATCTAGGATGTATAATGTTTGCTGTTGGACTAAATAAATAACCTAGAGTTTTGCAACACTTAATACTTGTATGTGTGGCTTGAAGCATTTTTGTGGAAAGAACAGACTTCATGGGTTGAATGTGCTGTTCCAAATCTATTTTTTTGCATTTCTTCTTCTTGAGCATCTTGTTATTATTTATTTCCATGGCTGATGGTGTGGGAGGGAATCTGCTTTCAGACCAGTTTGAGAGTTGCCTTATCATTAGCTGCTTGAGGATGTGTAGGATTACTCAGTTTACTCATCCTCTGTACTCTTATGAACTTGACAAAACTGTGCTGTGAATCTCCTTTGTGCTATAGCAAATGTTGAGACTTCATATTCTGGGGACTCAGAAAAGCAAGCTAAAATCTTTCCACTATATGGCACATCTCATTTCTCCAATTTGGACAGCTCATTTAACATTCTTACGGTGAAAGGTCTGGATTAATTGTTAGAGGATGCATGTGTTCAGTATAATATTGAAAGTTTGAATATGACTGAGAATGATTTCTTCCAACAGAGGGCTGGTGGTTTATTTGGTAACCATGTTGGCTATTATCCAAGTGATTGTAGAGGCTCCTTTCCACAAACTTTCACCACACAGCGTCCTTTGCACCTCAATAAATCAGGAACCTCTCAAGCTGAAATAGAATCACCATCCCATGAGAAACTGGTTGATTCAACGTTCACTCCAAGCAGCTATTCCTCCTCTGGGTCAAACGCCAATATCAACAATGCCAATAATACTGCAATATCCAGATTCCCAATTCCAGTCAACTACCAAAGCACCGTCAGCACAGTGGATGGTCATAACAATTCTTTGACTTCAGCGCTTATATTGCAAGGCACAACATGGAGGATCAATCCGAAAAGGTAAGATTGTAATATTACAAGATATTTTTCTACTAAAGCAATTCTTTGCCATTTCAATTTAAAGTGTGTTATCATGTAAGCATCTTTTATATGATGGTAAAAAGGCTTTCTTTGTCTGTCTTGAGCCCATTATAATAAGCAGTGTGTGGTGTGTGTGTATAGTATGAGCCGGACTAGAATAAACAATGTGCATGGTGTATGCGCACTGCAACATTTGATGTGCTTATGACGTGAGCTGTACAAATACAGGCAGTATAAATTTTGCATGACCCCAAAACAAAAGAGACTGAATGCACTAGATAATTATGGTGAGTCAAAATTTAAGACTTTCAATAAACAGCACTGTAGATCCACAGCCTCGCTAAATTTGTAAGGTGTGTGTGAGAGTGTCTGTCTCAAAACACTTGCTTAGGGTAAGAACCAGCATATGGAGTCTTCTAAAGTGGAAATATTTTTGCACCACAGCTACCACATTGTTCTGACTGACCAGGAAACAGATCCTGCTCTTGCCTCCTCCCACACTTATTCGTAATTTTCCAACAGTTGTTATATGTACTTAAGAATATATCAAATTGATTAATTTTTCTTCTCTGTTTTCATGCTTTCTTGTGGAACAGGACACAGTATTATGAAACATTGATACGGTATGTACCCTTCTGAGTATTCCTTCACTTTAACAATAGCAGTTTTAACCTTTGTAATGTTCTTTTAATAAATGCACTTATTATTATGTAGGCTCAACTTATTTTAGAATTTCTTCAGATTCCTCTTCTTTGGTACAACATAATTGACATGGAGAACAGAAATGTCATTTAGGTCATCCATGGAGATAGCGATACCAAATTGGTAACATCATATAATGTTACTAACTGTTTGACTTCAAAAGTTCAAAATTTAACTGTGAAGAAAACTTTTTTTTTATTTTATAGTCCAATTTTATACTGCCTTGATGTCACAAGTCTTACAATCATTCCCCTATAATCAGGATAATTTCTTTTTGTTTAGCTGCTTAGTTAAATATTGTTCAGGTTAATCTAGTACAGTACTAGTTTCTTTCATTTGAATTCTTCCTGGAACTATCAGCACTAATTTTAAAAACTTGGAAATCTGAAACAAAAGCAGAAAGTGGTGGAAGTACTTAAAACATGTTCTGAAGGTGGGACCTATTCAAACTGTCCTTTCTCTCTTCTGTATTTCCAACATTATCTATTTCTCTCTTTACAAATATGAGCAACAATTTTGTATCATTAAGGATCAATATAATATAGTCAACTATTACATGATATTTAGTCACTTACCAAGGATGTGCATATGATTGCTTCATTTCTCTGGTTTACATCAGATATAATGACCTTGTTACACTCTTGTATTTTTAGTTCAGACTCTGAAGATAGCAGTTTGCCAATTATTCAGCGAGAGGAAGCATATTCCGATGAAATTTATGATGAGAACTTCAATGAAGATCCTCATTGCTGTAGGGAGGACAGCATACTTTCTTCACAACTGTGAGTACTTCTTTCTAGTTTGAGATGGTATCAAATTGAAAGAAAGACAAAAATGCTGCAAAGAATAGTAGCAAGCCAGATATTTCGGAAAATTGTCAAAACTAGCAAAGATTGACTAAAAGACAATAAAGAGGGAAAAAGTAGAATGAGAGTAAGCTTGCAAGAAATATATCAGTAGACAGCTATAGCCCCTTGCAACTATGTAAAAAGGAAGGAGTATAGCTAAAGTAAATTTGGTCCCTTGGAAGTTGAGACTGGAGGATAAGCAATGGGAAACAAGCGAGAGACTTCGGCAAGTACTTCGTATTCGTCTTCACTGAAGAAAATGCAAAGATTACTCCAAGTATGGCAGAAAATCAAAGGTCAGTAAGAAGGGAGGGATTTAAAGATAATTACTATCACTTAAAAGAAAGGAAAATTAATGTGACTAATGGCTCTAAAGTCCCCAAGGCCTGTAATTTAGGGTTTTAAAAGGGTCTTGGATGCATTAGTTATAATATTCCAAAATTCCCTGGATTAATAGATTGGAAACTACAAAAATTACACTTCTATTCAAGAGTGATACAGAAAGCAGAAGGGCATAGGACAGTTAAATTAACAGCTGTTGTTAGGAAAATGCGAGAATCCATTAAGGGAATGCTAGCAGAAAATTTTAAAAATTATAATAAAGTCAAACAGGGTCACCGTGGTTTTAAAAATCTTGTTTGACAAATTCATTAAAGTTCTCTCGGATGGAATAAGCTGGGTGGATAACAGCAAACTAGTGTATTTGGATTTCCAAAAGGCATTTGATCAGATGCTGCATAAAAGGTTATTATATAACACAACAGCTCAAAGTGTTGGACATAATACATTAGCACAGGTAAAGGATTGGTAAACCAAAAGAAAGCAGTCTGTATGAATGGTCAGAGATAGCAGGAACTGCAGATGCTAGAGAATCTGAGATAACCAAGTGTAGAGCTGGATGAACACAGCAGGCCAAGCAGCATCAGAGGAGCAGGAAGGCTGACGTTTCGGGCCTAGACCCTCTTCAGAAAAG